AATCCTTGCTAAGAAAAAAAATGTTTGAAATATACTTGGTTTACACAGCTCAATTTCACTCACTTCAAGCAATCTTATGCCCAGGAGAGGTATCAAGAAGAGAGGCCATGGAAGCCTCTAACGTGGCTGAAATTCCACCATAGAAAAGTGGTGGAATGTGTTAGGATTCACATTCTGCAATCCTAATTCAGTTGCTCTGGGCTGTCTTTTTCTAATTTCCTCTCGCTCTGCTCCATGCACCCATGTTTGTGCTGTAGTCATAGGATCTGGCATGACTCTGCTACCTTAAAAAGAGCATGAATTACTTTCAATTTCAGTTTAAACACATCAGTATACTGGAAGAGAAGACTGGCTTGCTCAGTCTGCTTTAGCTTTGATAAAGGAGAGACAGAGGGGTGGAAGGAGCAAGTGAGCAACGGGTGAGAGGCAACTGGAACCATTCTTGGATTCCTGGTGTGTGGAGCAGGTATGTCCATCTTTTATGTGCTATCTAAGATTGATTTCTGATTCAATGTGACAATTGAAGAAGGGCAGATTGTTCATTGTCTGGAGGGCAGAGGTCTACACCTGGCTTTATTTTGGGGGGGCTACAGTTTCTCTGTTTGCATCAGTAGGGCTGCAAAGTGACAGGCACACCATGTCTTCCTGGATGTGCTGCTTCTAGAAGGAGCCCTTATGAGATTTCGCCTCTCCTGCTTTGTCAAGCTCTGTGGCTGGCATTCGAATTCAGAGAACAAAATATTTCCTGCGAAGGAGGTTATAGGCAACTATCATTTAAAGAGATAATTTCTTTTCATCTTTATATCAGTCATACTTAAGAAAGCTTCACAGAGAGAGCTCTGAAAATTTATCTATGTACAGATTAATTTAGTACCCACATAGCTGATGTTTAATAATTAAAGATTTTAAATCTCATCAAAACTCTTCCATTCTCTTCTCCTTCTCTCTCTCTCTCTCTCTCCCACCTGTTGTGTTTGTTGGTTTGGTTTTCATGGGCATGAAGTTGGAGCCATTTGTAGCATTTAAAAAATCTATACCATCCGGGTTTAACAATCCCTTTGGATAATTCTTCTGTAGATCAAATTTCGAAGACCAATCCTGAGTAGGACTGTACAGCTGGCCTTTGTTAATTTGAAGTTCAGAATTTTGTAGCCCACTCACAGTAAGATATAAGAGATCTACAGATCTGTGGGGTGTTTTGTTTGTTTGTCTTCCCTCTAAGGAGGGAACTGGACAATTCTAGAAATTATAAAGTAGCTGTTAGAGGCTCCTGTTTTCCTTTGTATTCTTGACTCCCACGCTGAAGAGCTAGACAAAAGCAAATGGTACAGGAACAATGTATGAAATTGCTTGCTGTTTTTCTCTGATAAAAATTTTTTATTTGTTGACCTTGTTTCTTAGTAACCTAGAGTTCACAGATTGTGTTCAAATCTCTTTGTTTTCTGTTTGTTTGCTTTTCTGTTTTATGAGCAAAGAGAACAAAGAAGCAGTTTACTGAGGCAAAAGCAAAAGGACACACTCAGAGGAGAGTGTTGGGGCATCCCTGTAGGGTTTTTTATTTCGTCTTTTTTCTTATTTTTATCATTGAATGGATGGGGTATTTTTGATTAGAGGTGGAATATTCATTGAAATATTCATTGAGGGAGGTTGGGATGGGGCTGCTTCCTAAGTGGCTCAGTGGTAAAGAATCTGCCTTTTAAGCAAGAGATGCCGGAGATGTGGGTTTAATCACTGGGTTGGGAAGATCCCCTGGAGGAGGAAATGGCAACACACTCCAGTATACTTGCCTGGGAAATCCCATGGACAGAAGAGTCTGGCGGTCTACAGTCCGTGGAGTCGCAAAGGAGACACAATAGACAATGCATGCATGAATGATTTATTGAGGGGAAGACAGAACTGGTTTTTATAAAGTTGTTTGCAGTGGTTCATCTCACATGTGGTTCCTACAGCTTCCTGTAGTCTTCCCTTTAAGGAGGGAACTGGACAATTCTAGAAATTGTAAAATAGCTGTTAGAGGCTCCTGTTTTCATTTGTGTTCTTGACTCCCACACTGAAGAACTAGACAAAAGCAAATGGTGCAGGAGCAACGTATGAAATTGCTTGCTGCTTTTCTCTGATAAAAATTTTTATTTGTAGACCTTGTTTCTTAGTAACCTAGAGTTCACAGACTGTGTTCAAAGGCACAACCCAATGGATCAATCTGTTCAGTACAATTTTGTGGATAAATCTTCATCTAATTCAAACACGTTCTGAAATTCTATTTTGTGTTGTGTGCTATGCTTAGATATAAGCATAGCAAATGCTTATAGTACTTAATTTTATTATCAAAACATCCACTGTACTGGATCTATACTTTTTCTCACATTACCCCTATAATTATCTTTAAAAACTTAAGTTTAGCTAGGTGGGGCTCTTTGTTTAAGACTACACGAATAGTAACTGATAGAGAGACTTTTTTGTTTGTTTGGTTTTTGAAGTATCTTTTGATACTATTAAATGTATCTAGAATATTTGACCTATAAATATAAAACTATTTTAGATACTTGAATATAATATCATGCTTATACATTTTGATAATGAAACATGCATAGATATTGTAGGGAACTTTTAGCATAATAGCAACCGAAAATATGCCAAGAGATCCATGGTATAATAGTGCTTTTAATATTTAATTTTTCAAATCAAACTTTGCCTTGGAAAACAGATACAAGGAAATCCCATTTCCTTTTCATCTAGATTTACCTAGTGGTGATCTTTTGCTACATTTACTTTATCTCTCTAAATGTATTGGGTTGGCTAAAAAGTTTGTTCAGGTTTTTCTATAAGATTCTAAAAAAAATAAATGGCCAATAAGAATGGCTATTATTAAAAGGTGGGGGGGAACTCCAAACACAAATATATTGGAGATTTGCAGACCTCTAGTAATTAGTGATGTTGGGCATTTATAAAAGCAGTCACATTTCGAATTCTTTGTATACTAGTTTTGTTCTAAGGCAGTCTTTCTCTAAACTTGTCCTTGGTTTTGAGGTTTGGGATTAAGCTAAAGAGAAACAATAAAGTCTTTTTAGGCTTTTCTTTTATGCATCTTCTCTGGGCCTGTGTGTGCCTTTTCAATTTTCCCATATATGTGCTGCTTTAAAATATCTTAATTTTCCAGAGAGTCTCTCCTTAGGGCTTCTGATCATCTATTATTTGCCTTTACCCTGAAAAGGAAAAATTCAGCTTCTCCCCTCAAATTTCTATTCTCCATATTTCACTTCTGGGCATCACTTATGTGGGCGTATTATCATACCAAGCAATTTTCACACACTTATTTCGAAGAGTTAGTCCGTACTCCACAGTCCCCAGGCTAAGGGCTGAGTTCTCAAGTGAAAGTGAAAGAAAGTGAGAGTGAAGTCGCTCAGTCGTGTCCGACTCTTTGCTACCCTGTGGACTGTAGCCCACCAGGCACCTCGGTCCATGGGATTCTCCAGGCAAGAATACTGGAGTGGGTTGCTGTTTCCTTCTCCAGGGGATCTTCCTGTCCCCCAATTCAGACACAAATTGCAAGTCTAGGTTGTCACTTGGGCTTCTAACTGGCTATACAGTGGAGGGTCCCACAATCTCCTCCTCAGGTTCAATAATTTGCTAGGATGGTTTACAGAAATCAGGAAAAATAGTTTACTTGCTAGGTTACTGATTTATTTAAAAAAAAAAAAAAGGGATACAACCCAGGAAGAGCATGAGAGAAGAAATGCATAAAGGTAAGAAAGGGGTAGGAGAAGGAAATGGCAACCCACTCCAGTATTCTTGCCTGGAGAGTCCCAGAGACAGAGGAGGCTGGTGGGCTGCCGTCTGTGGGGTCACACAGAGTCGGACACAACTGAAGTGACTTAGCAGCAGCAGCAGCAGCAAGAAAGGTGTATGGAGTTTCCATGTTCCCTCTGGACATGCTGTCTTTGGTCATCTCCATGTTCATCAAGCCAGAAGCTCTCTGAACACTTTTAGGTAGCTTTGTTTTTTCAGTTTTTTAAATAGAAGCCTCATTAAATAGCTATGGTTGATTAAATCAATGGTCACTGATGATTACTCAACTTTCAGCTCTTCTCTGATCCCCAGAGGTTGGGGAATGAGGCTGAATGTTCCAAGTCTCAAATAACATGGTTGGTTCTTTGAAATATGAACTTAGCTGGGTTTGTGCTTTATGTGGGCTTCCCAGGTGGCTTAGTGGTACAGAATTGGCCTACCAATGCAGGAGATGCAGGAGACAGGGGGTTCAATCTCTGAACTGGGAAGATCCCCTGGAGTAGGAAATGGCAACGTGTTCCAGTATTCTTGCCTGGAAAATTCCACGGACAGAGGAGCTTAGTGGGCTACAGTTCATGGGGTCACAAAGAGTCGGACACAACTGAGCGACTAAACAGCATCACGCATGTATTTTATGTATCATTGTTCATTGTTCATTTTTCAGTCGCTAGGTCATGTCTGACTCTTTGGAACCCCATGGACTGCAGCATGCCAGGCTTCCCTGTCCTTCACCATCTCCTGGAGTTTGCTCAAACTCATATACATTGAATTGGTGATGCCATCCAACCATCTCATCCTCTGTCATCCCCTTCTCCTCCTGCCTTCAGTCTTTCCCAGGATCAGAGTCTTTTGCAGTGAATCATCTCTTTGCATCAGCTTCAGCATTGGCCCTTCCCATGTATATTCAGGATTGATTTCCATTAGGATTGGGGCTTGGTATGTGGTAGGCCTTCCATGCATGGTAACAATAACTTGAATTTTATTTTTATTATTATTGAAGTAAAATTATACATAGTGATAATAGTTTGTCTTTCATTAAAAATATCATCAGAGATTTGAGGGAATGATGGAGGAAAACCTCTGTAGTATGCTAATTCTAGGTTACCTTTTGTCTCATGGAAAGTACAGAAGTCTTACAGAAGTTGAAGTTGACAGATGCCTTGTATAACTCTGCCTGTAATCTTATTTCTACTAGAAAGCTCTTCTAGGTTGCCATGGCATCTGGACCCAACATGATGGACCCCATTTGTCTGGTGGAAAATGACAATGAGATTCTGTCAGTGAACCAGAAAGCTCTACATATTCTTGAGAAGATTTCTCAGCCAGTGGTGGTGGTGGCCATTGTAGGACTGTATCGTACAGGCAAATCCTACTTGATGAACCGCCTTGCAGGACAGAACCGTGGTGAGTGTTGTACTTGGTTAGAGTCCAGTTGTTTGATTCTAGCTGACATCTTAGATTCTTAGTTTTCTTCCCTGGTCATGTGAAGGGAGAAACATATTCCCCTGAATAAGACAATCTTCCACTTCTAATTCTCACCACTAAATCACTACCTTATTGTGATCTATTATCATGTTCTTTGTTTTATTCCTGTAAAGTAAAATTTCTTCAACATATGCAAAAATCCTACTTTAACCTACCTGATTAAATACAGTGCTCTTGCAGTTGTCTTCTCACTTTCAAAACATTTTGTTTTTTATTGAATATTCTCAACAACATATACAGATGTTTCATTATCTATCATCTTAAAAATTCTTCCTGGATTTCATATCCTACTGTGGTTAAAACCTCTCAAACTCTCCCACTTTTTAAAAAATAATTTTTTCTGGAAAAAATACAATCTCAATTTCTTTTTTCTACTTTTCCCCCGTGCCCATATCTCACTGTGATCCACTTCTCCACTTTTGAAACTCACCATTCTTTCAAAGTGCTCTTGTTACAGTTAGCCATAAGCTCTGTTTTATGTGATGCATGGATACCTCTTTGTCTCCATGCTGAACCCTTGCTTGGTATCATTGTTGCAATTAATATCCCCTTCTCCTTGAAACAGAGAACACACGAAGTAGGGCATTCTTGGTGAGATAGAGACAACACCATCATATGTACTAAGGTACTCGCATTCTAGTAAGTCTGACTTTGTAACCCCTTGGCGGCTTAGATTATCTGCTGTGATTGAATATTGCTTTCTCCCCTCCCTTTGCAGGTTTCCCTCTGGGCTCCACAGTGCAGTCTGAAACCAAGGGCATCTGGATGTGGTGTGTGCCCCACCCCTCCAAGCCAAACCACACCCTGGTCCTTCTGGACACTGAGGGCTTGGGGGATGTGGAAAAGGTGAGGTGGAAGGTCACAGATAAATCCTTTCTATTCTGGGTTTTCTCCTTATTGCTTGATGATCGTAGAACTTTAGCTGCTGTAGTCTATTTGTAAAATCCAGAAGTCAACTATAGTAAATGAGGCAAACTATGGTTTGTTTAAATCCCACTTCTAGGAAAAGTTATTAGATCTATATTAAATAAAATATTTTATTTCTTGGCACTGCATGGACGACTTGCTTTCTTTTAATAAATAATTATTGAACAGCTGAATTCTAGGCCTTTGGACTTAATAAGGTAGATTGTGTTGGTGGTTTAGTTGCTAAGTTGTGTCTGACTCTTGTGACCCCAACAGCCTGTAGCCCACCAGGCTCCTCTGTCCCTGGGATTTCCCAGGCAAGAATACTGGAGTGCATTCCCATTTCCTTCTCCAGGGGATCTTCCCTGACCCAGGGATCAAATTCGAGCCTCCTGCATTACAGGTGGATTCTTTACCAACTGAGCCACCAGGGAAGCCCAAATAAGGTAGATATCAGTGACCAAAGTAAAGGTCTTGCTCTCAAAGACCACACATGTGCAGTCAGATTTAATAAAGGGTGACTGGTAAAGAAGCAGGTGGAGAGAGGAGGGAGTTGAACTACACTGCAATCACCAACTCCTGTCAGTTCCCTGGGAGCTCTGGGCAAGAATGGTTCTTTTGAGTTGCTCTGACTTGGGGCAATGGTGCTAGTAAATTATTGAAAAGTTACTTTGGGAGCCTTTCTAATTAATAGGGCTGATACCTGAAGACTCTTTCAATGGCACTCCCAACAGCTAGGGGAATAAGTCCTTCAGTCTTGAAAGGTGATCCAGGCAGGACTTGACAGTTTCCATCACTTACAGTTGGGTTATAAAAGTGCGTTGGTAAAAAAGAGGAGAAGCAGCAACCTGGGAGAGAGGAAGGATTTTTGATTCTTCTTCTTAGCTATCAGACAAAGAGTGTATTTAAAGGTTAGAGTTAAGAGATGGGTTTACATTTTCTATGATGAAATTCATCAACTGCTCACAGAGCATTTTAGAAAGTTGTGAGATACCTCTAGATGTGGTGGTTCTATAAAACATATGTTTGTCCTACAAGAAACATTTTAAGATGGATTTTTTGGTATTTTAGCTTTCTACTAAAGGATGAAAGAAGTTACTTTTCTTTTTTCCATTAACTTTAGACTTTTTTGGAAATAGTACCCAAATTTCTATAGCTTTTTATATTTCTTCCCAAAGGAGAATTAGAAATTCTGTTTTTATCTTGAAAGTCATGTATCAAACCATGATATAGTCTTGTTGTTGAAATAATTGATTGTTTGCCATAAATGCCACTTCTTTTAATTGATTATTTTCTAAGCCTGAATTTTGGGGAAATAAAGTAATGAATAGACTGCTGTTGCTGCTAAGTCGCTTCAGTCGTGCAACCCCATAGACGGCAGCCCACCAGGCTCTGCCATCCCTGGGATTCTCCAGGCAAGAACACTGGAGTGGGTTGCCATTTCCTTCTCCAATGCATGAAAGTGAAAAGTGAAATGAAGTTGCTCAGTCGTGTCTGACTCTTCGAGACCCTATGGACTGCAGCCTACCAGGCTCCTCCGTCCATGGGATTTTCCAGGCAAGAGTACTGGAGTGGGTTGCCATTGCCTTCTCCAAATGAATAGACTATTTCTCCCGAATTCTCATATAGAATTGTCTTGACATAAATCAGTTTTTCCATTTGCTCTAGGCAGCAGCTTTACACACTCTTTACAGTAGAAATAATATATAGATTTATGCTACTATTTAGAAAATGCTATGATTTATACAAACAAAATTAGCCTGGCCTTTAAGGCCCTTCATCAGGTTGCACTAGAGCTTCATATTCACTTCTCCACTCACCCTCTGCTCCAGTCAAATGAAATAACTCTATTTTAATTATAAGACCCCAGTATTCTCCCATCTCTAATTTTGCCTCTGTGAGTGCTTCTGTCTATGGGGTCACCTTCATTTCTTGAAGTCCACATTTTATCAGTTCTTTAATACTCAGTTCAAGACTTGGAGGAAGCTTTCATGTCACATTCTTTCTCCAACTTTCATAGCTCAGTTCTTCCTTTACAGACATAAATTTTAATTTAATGTTATAGCTATAAGTTTCACTGCTTATATACATTACTAAGATGTCAGCTTTCTATAGGTACTGTCATCTTTGCGGCTTTTATTGTTATGGATGTTTGTCACTTATTTGAAATAGGCATCCTGAAAGGAATAATTGTCATTTTTAACATTGCTTTTTGAAATCTAAGAACAGTGGGAGAGTATTGAGTAACTTTTGAAGATATTTACTGATTGAATATAATTTAAAAACCCAGTTATGCCAACTCTGGTCGATTTTATATGAGCTATGATTAATAAATATGTGTAGAACGAAGAAGTACTAACACTCATCATTGAATACATAGTTACATACCAAGTACTGTACTAGTTTTTATGTATATGTTATTTCCTTAATCCATTGAGGGAAAAGAAAGTCTTATGAAGATTAGAATCACTTTATATATGAAAAAATCAAAAACATAAAAAAGTCTTTGTAATTGTCAAAGCTGATATCTGTATTTACGTCTGTCTTCAAATAGTGTCTATGCATGGTGAGTATGTTAACTGAAATAATACATGAAAGCATGATAGAATCAATGGATGATTGAATTTTTAATTTAGGAGTAAACTCCTAAACCTCTTGTTGAAATGTGATTTCTAGGGTGACCCTAAGAATGACTCGTGGATCTTTGCCCTGGCTGTGCTTCTATGTAGCACCTTTGTCTACAATAGCACGAGCACCATCAACCACCAGGCCCTGGAACAGCTGTAGTATCCTTCCAGAAACTGAACCTCCAGGTTTCACCAAGTTTGATGAAAATGATAGAGTCATTTCTCCTTCCCTGTCAGTTAGTTGCCTTTGGTGGAGCAGAGGGGACCCAGGGCCTAAGAGAGTGATGATAATACTTTTTAATTAGGGAAATGTAGGAATTGTGCAGAGACGGTTGCTTTTCTTTAACCAAGTCCTAGCTATGTGACAGAGCTCACAGAACTTATCCAGGCCAAGTCCTCTCCAAGACCTGATGGAGTAGAAGATTCCACAGAGTTTGTGAGTTTCTTTCCAGACTTTATCTGGGCTGTTCGGGATTTCACCCTGGAGCTGAAGTTAAACAGTCACCCTATCACAGAAGATCAGTACCTGGAGAATGCCTTGAAGCTGATTCCAGGTATTAGGGCATGACTCGGGCAGTGGATGGTCCCATGGAGGGTGGAATTTACTAAACACTGTCTATCATCTCTGGGGTTGTGTTGTCCTAATGGTCCGGGAGCGAGCAACAAGAATGAAGACAGAACATGAAATCTGGTGCAATGGGTCAGGGGACAAGCAGCCTCTATGGGACTGAGGTGCAGAGTCCACTCTGAGTCCAGCTTTTATTCCTAATTGCAGACTACAAGACTATTTTTGATCTTATCTTTCCCAAGACACTACACTGACATAGTCCAGATCTCCTTGTTTTTATCCCAGGCCATTCCCTTTTGGGCTTGTCTTGGGAACAATCAGCAAGTGCATAGGCAGGGTTCATGCCTGACACCTACCCAGTGTTTCTAAGGTCTATGCTTTCATGATGCCAGTCATATTCCCTTCTGGGTCTGGCCTTGGGGTTTGTAACAAGGAGATTATTCTTAAGAAAAACATGAAAGATAATCATTAACACAGTGTCTTATTATATGCTATTTTTCCAGGTGCTATTTCTGTGGAATTTCTCAAGGCTGTGAAAGTACATTATTAGGAATTCCCACTACATCTCCCGCTTTTTGTTTTTGCAGGAGTAGATATGCCGTCCGAGCAACTTCCTTTTTCATCAGTTTTCGGATGGTTTTTCTCATGCATCTGAGGACTAGACACAAAAGAGTTAAAAATTTATATCCTGATATTATAGTACCAAGCAATCCTCCTCCTAAAGTTTTAATCCACATTATGGGGTTAAGTTTATGTAAGCTTTCCTCAATTTCTTCAAATAAATCAGTTTCTGGGAGTAATTGTAAGTGACCATTCTGCATATTAGAAATAGTAGCCTGTAACTGGGAAATGTCTAAGGATAGATTATTATGAATGTGTCCTCTCAAATGTTTAGATAATCGATCCCAAGTATATGCACTTTGATTATACTTATGAGGTATGACACAAAATGAAGAGATATTCCAATCACACTTAAGATGAGTTTGTAATTTAAAATTTTGTACTTAGTCCCCTAGTTGGAGAACTGCATTTTCTAAATCAATCAATCATTCATTAATTTCTTGGTCTATGTGGGTTTGACTTCCCCAGGCAGAACTTGCATTTTGGTGCCACTGCTGTACAAATGTAGTCGTTTATATATTTTGATGCAGTGCCACCCCGGCCATTACTGCTGTCGTGGCTATGGCAATAAGTCCCATAATAGCTGCCATAAGGAGTCCAGTAAACATTTTGGAATATTGTAGTACTTTCTTTATAACTTTTAAAAGAGGATGTGTTTCAGAAGAGCCTTCCCAAGGTCTGGTGTGATTTATTGGAAGCCATATTCCCCATCTCCTTCTTCATATAACAAATGAGTGATTAGAATTATAAAGTGAAGTATTTAAGCAAGTATATAATTTGAAATCCTGGCAAGAAAGTTCTTGTACATTTTCACTGATAGAAATTGTTCGCTTCAAGAGCACATAAGGATCTCTCACACAAGCCTGAATATAAAATGTCCAGTTTGCACTGGTATTAAATGTCAAGGAATAATTAGTTTTATCAGAATAACATCCATCCCAAATTTGGAATTTTTTAAGACTTAAAGCCAATTTCCAAATCTCTCCTTGCCCTATTCCTGATGCAATTGTGGGAAGGGGGGAGACATGCCACTACCATGCCATATAATTGGATGATCTAAATGAGTGGTAATATTAGTATGGTGAAAGACTTTATGCAGCTTCCAACACAGCCTTTTGTGAGGATTGCAGGACTGATTTTGATGAGAGCAATTAGAGACTGCCTACCCCTTAGGGGGCCAGTTCCATACAATTCCATAGGAACCATTAATCAAAATTACTCCCTCAGTTCCACGATAATTATCCCACTGAATAAGATCTTGTTTTTCAGTCCGTAGCTTGAGATGCTTGCATAAAGGTCTGTCTGATTTGCTGTCATTGTCGGGTTCTGAGTTGTTATAAGCAAAACTCAGACCAGAGAGAAGATGTAGCTAAATCTTAGTATAGTTGCTATTTAAAGAATTAGTGGACAGCCAGGCTTGCACAGATAATTTAAGACATCCTGTAGCTGGTCCTACACAAATTGGCCAGGATTCATACCCATAAGCAACACTGAAGGGAGTCCCTTCCTCTTGTTTAAAAAGAGGAAGGCATGTATCTTCAGGTCCTGGTATCCAGGAAGAATCATTAACATAAACGGGGATCATAGAATCCCCCCATTCAACAGATTTTTGTAATGGGGGGTTAGGTATACATGCCCAATAAGTATAACTTTTAGATTCAGCTGTTGCTAGGGGTATACTCACTGCAGTGGTAATAAGAGCAAACATGGCAACACCCAGATTGTTAGGAGTGACAGCTTTTCCTTCATTTTCTTTTCTTTTTTTCATTTATTTTTATTAGTTGGAGGCTAATTACTTCACAACATTTCAGTGGGTTTTGTCATACATTGACATGAATCAGCCATGGAGTTACATGTATTCCCCATCCCGATCCCCCCTCCCACCTCCCTCTCCACCCGATCCCTCTGGGTCATCCCAGTGCACCAGGCCTGAGCACTTGTCTCATGCATCCCACCTGGGCTGGTGATCTGTTTCACTATAGATAATATACATGCTGTTCTTTCGAAACATCCTGCTCTTGCCTTCTCCCAGAGTCCAAAAGTCTGTTCTGTACATCTGTGTCTCTTTTTCTGTTTTGCATATAGGGTTATCATTACCATCTTTCTATATTCCATATATATGTGTTAGTATGCTGTAATGTTCTTTATCTTTCTGGCTTACTTCACTCTGTAAAATGGGCTCCAGTTTCATCCATCTCATTAGAACTGATTCAAATGAATTCTTTTTAATGGCTGAGTAATATTCCATGGTGTATATGTACCACAGCTTCCTTATCCATTCGTCTGCTGGTGGGCATCTAGGTTGCTTCCATGTCCTGGCTATCCCTTCATTTTCTAAGATCTCCTCTGGTTTCAGTGTTAACCTTCTAATTTGTCCCCAAGTGGGGATCTTGTTCTGATGTGTTGATGGGAGGGGAATCGTTATCTTTATCTGTTTCAGACTCAGGCTTTTGAAACTCGTGACTGAGGGCTCTCCGTCTCATGTGAAGTGTCTCTTCCGTGGGAGTTCCCTCATGATACGGTTTCAGATGACGTGAGGGAATCCAAATGGGTGTTTCTGAATCACCTGGTGAAACACAAGAGACACCCCTTCCCCAGGTTATCAGATTCCCCTATGCCATGAGTATGTTACTGGATCATGCCACCAAACAGGTGTTTGGGGTGAATTTCTTTTTGTTCCTTTATAAAATGTTGTTCTGATGCAATGAAATCTTTATCTTGATGCAAAAAATTTTAAGTAAATAATGCTTTATATAATTTTTGCTATGGTGGAAGTGACATTCCATCTCCCCCTTTTTATTTTTGTAACATTTCTTTACAAGATCTGTTGACTTGCTCTACAATAGCTTGTCCTTGGGGATTATAGGGAATTCCTGTATGATGTTTTATAGACCAAGGCTTTAAAAAATCCCTAAAAGCAGCACTAGTGTAAGCCGGGCCATTGTCTGTTTTTATATTTTGTGGGAGGCCCATAGTAGCAAAGCAGCTACGCAAATGTGAAATAATGTGTCTTGTAGATTCTCCAGCGCAAGCAGTTGCCCAGATAAATTTAGAGGTAATATCAACTGTGACATGTACAGAAGCAAGCTTTACAGAGGATGGAACATGAGTTACGTCCATCTGCCAGATCTGATTTGACCTCAGGCCATGGGGATTAATTCCCCCAGTTTCTGTTGGAGACATGGTTATCGCAACAGTCTGACATGTAGGACAAGTCCTCACAATCTGTTTAGCTTGAGCCCAAGTGATGTGGAACTTGGCTTTTAAATATTTTGAATTACAATGTGTCAGGTCATGAAAGGTTGATGCTTCTGTAAAGGCTGGAAATAAAAGGGCATACATAGGCTTGAGTATTTCCTTCTGTTAAAATAGCATGAGCCCAAATATGAGTAACGTAGAATGGAAACTGTCAGTGTCTAATCACCTGTTGTAAATTTGTAAAAAGTGTATACCATGTGGATGGGATAGTATCCTTAATACTAGCTGTTTCTATATGTTTAGTGACATGTACAGAATATTGGGAATCAGGTAAGATATTAATTGCTTGGGGAATATTTTGTGATATGTGCATAATAGCTAGAATTTTTGCTTGTTGTGCAGAATATCCAGGTGTTTCAATTACTAGCATAAACGTGCCTGTATATCCTGCTTTCCCTCAGTTAGTGCCATCTGTAAAATTGAGAGGAGCAGAGGGAATGGGCTTGACATTAGTAATTCTAGGCAAAATCCACCTTGTTTGTTTTAAAAACTGCATGATAGGCAAATAAGTATAGTGGTTGCCAATATGTCCAACATATTGGACAGCTAAAGCTTGTTGCCAAGATAATGGATAATGAGTTTTGAAGAGAATGTTTTAATTCCTTGGAGGTTGGTGTAGTTCAAATAAGGCAGGGATCATGTCCAGGAAGCTGTTGAACACTCTCTTCCTTTTAGACTTATATTTGCTACCATATCTAAGTGAAGGATAATAGATTTTGTTTGTGAATTAGCTAAGACTATCCATTCAACTATTAAAGGAGTTTGCATAGTCAACCCAGTAGGGGAATGAGGGGTAGGGAAGACAAACAACTGAAGAGGCTCTAGAGGGTCTATTCTGTCTATTTGGCAGTTTTGTACAGTTTATTCTATAATTGCTAGTTTTTTCTCAGCCTCAGGAATTTGTTTTTGGGAGCTATTAAGCTCTGGATTTTCTCTTAATAGAATAAATGGAATAAAGAATAAGTTGGACCCCTAACTTAGGCCGAATCCAGTTAACATCTCCTAGAAATTTTTGTAAGTCATTTAAAATTTTAATTGAGTCTCTGCGTATCTGCATTTTTTGGTGTGATTGCAGTATGGGTGACTTTATTTCCTGAGTACTGAAAAGGTTCAGTGTATTGTAATTTATCAGAAACTATATAGAAGCCAGCACATTCCAAGCATTCCTTTAGCTTTAAAAACATTCCTGTAGGCTATAAATTTCAGGTAAGGCACATAGTATATCATCCATATAATGAATAATATATACATGAGGGAATTGCTGTCACACTGGATGTAAAGCCTTGGCTACAAAATTTTGACAAATAGTGGGACTGTTACGCATATCTTGAGGTAATACAGTCCATTGGAATCTTTTATGTGGCTTCTTTAAATTAATGGAAGGAACTGAAAAGGCAAATCCAGGTTTACCATCAGGATGTAAAAGAATAGTGAAAAAACAATTTCTGAGATCAATAGCCAACAAATGCAAATTTCTTAGAATTCTACTAGGATTAGGTAGACCAGGCTGCAAAGCACCCATTGGAACAATAACAGCATTAACAGCTCTCAGATCAGTAAGCATTCTCCATTTACCAGACTTCTTTTGTGTAATGAACACTGGAGAATTCCAAGGGCTAAAGGACTCAATAATATGTCTCTTGTTAAGTTGTTCATTAACTAATTCATGTAAAGCCTCCATTTTTTTTTGTTTGTTTGTTTTAGGGGCCACTGCTCTATCCACATAGGTTGATCTGTTTTCCAATTAAGAGATGTGGGTGGAGGAAGATTAATAGGAGCAGTAGCCACTAGTGAAAAGAGGACGGTTTGAAACCTTGAGTAGTCAAAGGATAAATTCTTCCTTGTTGATTTTTGCCCAGTCCAAATCCTGGTATATAACATTGATTGAACAAAATTTGGTGACTTCCTCACTATATTGATTTGGAGGACAAGGGGGAGGAGACAGGAAAAAAATCCCTCATCATCTTCCTTGGGAGCCGAAGGAGCAGGTTTTGCAGATGGCTTGCCCTTTCCCTCAGACTCCACATACTCTGACCTTTGAGGTTTTTCAAGAGAATTATCATCATTTTCATCAAAAGAATCAGAAGTCTGCAAAGGTTCCAGTACTGACTTAATGCCCACATGCTCCAAATAGAAATAGGGAGAGGAGTTCCTTTTGCATGTTCTTTTTTAAACTTGGCTCCAACATTTTCCCAGACTTTTAAATCCAAGGTCCCTATTGATGGGAACCAGCAGCAATATTTATCCACTGCTAGCAACAATTCTAATAATCCCCCTTCACTAATAGAAGCTCCTCCCACTTTCAAGAGCTGTCTTAATAAACAAATATATGGATGATAGTGTTCTACACTCTCAACATTTCCCATTTTCAGTTAGTTCAGTTGCTCAGTCTTGTCTGACTCTTTGAGACCCCATGGACTGCAGCACACCAGGCCTCCCTGTCCATCACCAACTCCCACAGTTTACTCAAACTCATGTCCATTGAGTCGGTGATGCCATCCAACCATCTCATCCACCGTCATCCCCTTCTCCTCCTGCCCTCCATCTTTCCTAGAATCACGGTCTTTTCAAATGAGTCAGCTCCTCCCATCAGGTGGCCAAAGTATTGGAGTTTCAGCTTCAGGATCAGTCCTTCCAATGAATATTCAGGACTGATTTCCTTTAGGATTGACAGGTTGGATCTCCTTGCAGTCCAAGGGACTCTCAAGAGTCTTCTCCAACACCAGAGTTCAAAAGCATCAATTCTTCGGTGCTCAGCTTTCTTTAGAGTCCACCTCTCACACCCATAAATGACTACTGGAAAAACCATAGCCTTGGCTAGACAGACCATTGTTGGCAAAGTAAAGTCTCAGCTTTTTAATATGCTATCTAGGTTGGTCATAACTTTCCTTCCAAGGAGCAAGTGTCTTTTAATTTCGTAGCTGCAGTCACCATCTGCAGTGATTTTGGAGCCCCCCAAAATAAAGTCAGCCACTGTTTCCACCATTTCCCCATCTACTTGCCATGAAATGATGGGACCAGATGCCATGATCTTAGTTTTCTAAATGTTGAGCTTTAAGCCAACTTTTTCACTCTCCTCTTTCACTTTCATCAAGAGCCTCTTTAGTTCTTCACTTTCTGCCATAAGGGTGGTGTCATCTGCATATCTGAGGTTATTGATATTTCTTCTGGCAATCTTGATTCTAGCTTGTGCTTCATCCAGCCCAGCATTTCTCATGATGTACTCTGCATTTAAGTTAAATAAGCAGGGTGACAATATACAGCCTTGACATACTCATTTCCCTATTTGGAACCTGTCTGTTGTTCTATGTCCAGTTCTAACTGTTGCTTTCTGACCTGCATATAGACTTCTCAAGGGGCAGGTCAGGTGGTCTGGTATTCCCATCTCTTTCAGATTTTTCCACAGTTTGTTGTGATCCACACAGTCTAAGGCTTTAGCATAGTCAATGAAGCAGATGTTTTTTTGGAATTTCCTTGCTTTTTCGATGATCCAGCGGATGTTGGCAATTTGATCTCTGGTTCCTCTGCCTTTCCTAAAACCAGCTTGAACATCTGGAAGTTCACGGTTCATGTATTGTTGAAGCCTGGCTTGGAGAATTTTGGGCATTACTTTACCAGTATGTGAGATGAGTGCAATTGTGCGGTAGTTTGAGCATTCTTTGGAATTGGAATGAAAACTGACCTTTTCCAGTCCTGTGGCCACTGCTGAGTTTTACCATTTTAACCCTGATTAAATGCTTGAAGATTTACCAGCAGTAATTTTCAGAGGCCTCTCAACTCTCCCAAGTTCTGTGTCACTGTAATCTCACTTTCGCTCCTAGAAGTCTTTCACTCCAGTCCCACATTAGACACCAATTGTTGTCCTAATGGTCTGGGAGTGAGCAACAAGAATGAAAACAGAACATGAAATCTAGTGCAATGAATTAGGGGACATGCAACCTCTATTGGACTGAGGTGCAGAGTCCACTCTGAGTCCAGCTTTTATTCCTAATTGCAGACTACAAGACTATTTTTGATCTTATCTTTCCCAAGACACTACACTGACATAGTCCAGATCTCCTTGTTTTTACCCCAGGCAGTTTCCTTTTGGACTAGTCTTGGGAACAATCAGCAAGTGCATAGGCAGTGTTCATGCCTGACACCTACCCAGTGTTTCTAAGGTCTATGCTTTCATGATGCCAGTCATATTCCCTTCTGGGTCTGGCCTTGGGGTTTGTAACAAGGAGATTATTCTTAAGAAAAACATGAAAGATAATCATTAACACAGTGTCTTAATATATGCTGTTTTTCCAGGTGTTATTTCTGTGGATTTTTTCAAGGCTGTGAAAGTACATTATTAGGAATTCCCACTACAGGGTTGCATTTGTACTTGAGACTAGATTAAAGTTTGTAGGAATCTGGAAAGTGGGTTGCAAAGCTGTAGCCACTGGAATTGAAGTTCACTTAAGAAAAGTAAAGTGTAAGGTAAAGTGTAATTATTCAAAACCAGTTTGTTTTTTATACCATTTGTAAATTAGCATCCAGATTACAATGGGTGCTAAAGCTTTCTAAAGACTGGATGCTTGTGTTCCCTATTTTGGCTTCTGCTTTTCTTTGTTGAGGAAAACAACTGACCAGATACTTGTTAGGCATGAAATTATAATGAAACATCTATCTAATTTAAAAAAAAGTACATTTCACATAGGTAGATTTTATTCTCAAAGAGGGATCTTTCTAATCCTGTATAGTTATGTGCTCGGCTAAGTTGTTTCAGTCGTGTCTGACTCTGTGACTCTATGAACTGTAGCCCTCCAGGCTCCTCTGCCCATGGGATTGTCCAGGGAAGAATTCTGGAGTGGGTTACCATGTCCTCCTCCAGGGGATCTTCTTGACCCAGGGATCAAACCCACATCTCTTATGTGTCCTGCATTGGCAGGCAGGTTCTTTACCACTAGTACCAGCTGGGAATATCATGTAAAAAATGACTCAATGTTCTAAGTAAACCTGATGAAGTATGTGTCTTTTCAATTTATGCCTTTTCAATATTTTTGATAATTTTTAGAACATTCATTTTACCTTCTTCATCCCAGCTTTCTCCTAATTTTCATATATTTACCCGTGCTTTAATTACAAATTAATGACTTATTTTAATGGGCTACATTTACAGTGGATATATCTGATGAAACCTTGAGAGAGATATCAATTCTCATTTACTCATTCTTGCTTTAATTTCTCTATTTATGCTTTCTCAAAATATCTATTGAGAAATTGTCTAGTCAGAAGAGGCCAACTATCAGATCAAATATAATAGCTTTTGTCAAAGTTGACTGATTAGTGGTGATATCTTAAAATTGCATTTTAGTTACATTTACCCTTCAGAGATTTTTTCTAAAAATTAGCTAACTCTGTACCAACTATTTTTTTAGCATCAAAATCGTTTCCCTGAAATAATCAGTGTCATTCCCAATATTTCAAATATTGTCCCTTAACCCTTGTTTATGGCTCTTCTTCTTGGTCTCACAGCTCAATTCCTACATGATACTAAGTAGAGCTAAAATTTACATTTGAACTTTCATCCTTTTACCCGTTAGTTCAATAAAAATCTAAGAGACAAAGGCTCTATAGCATGTAGGTCTGCAGACATCAGTTTTAGGTTTCTTTTACTGAATCAGATGTCTCCCTAAATTTTTCTCCAGAGTTATATCAATGGTGTAAGTTTTATGTGCAAGGAAGTGCTGAGTATTTATGTTAAATAAGTTATTAGCATAGAAGACAGCAAAGAAACTCAAATCCCTGTCCTGAACACCATGAGCTCCCTTGTTTCAAAAGTCTTCCCACTCTAATCTGTTTTTCTGTCCTTCAGGCAGGAATCCCAAAGCCAGAACATCCAATCTACCCAGAGAGTGTATCAGGCATTTCTTTCCAACACGGAAGTGTTTTGTGTTTGACTGGCCAACAAATAACAAAGAGCTCCTATACAATATTGAGAATGTGTCTGAAGACCAACTGGATCCTAAATTCCTGAGACAAACAAAGAATTTCTGTTCTTACATCTTCACCAATGCAAAAGTCAAGACCCTCAAAGAGGGGATCACAGTCACTGGGAATCGTGAGTCTCTTTTTCTTGATTCCATGGGGGTTGATGTGTGCTGAATATTTTATATAATGTGTTTTCCAGTATTTTTGTTTGATTCTATATGGAATTTGGGTTTTACAGACACTCATATTTCATGAAGAAATGTGTATGCTTCATAATTATCTTACTTTGGGGAATTTACAAATCCCTTCCTTAAATGGCAAGTTCTGTCACTGGAATCTGTGGCTTCCACTTATCTGAAAAATTCCTCTACTGAGAAAAAACTCACTATCAGGGTATAAAAACAGAAGCTTCCATTTTCTGAAGTCCTATATAGAAAGTGTTCTTTGCAAGTAGAATACAAAAGATATTTTGGAAGATTCAGTTCAGTTCAGCTCAATTGCTCAGTCATGTCTGACTCTTTGCTACCCCATGGACTGCAGCATGCCAGGCTTCCCTGTCTATCACCAACTCCTGGAGTTTGCTCAAACTATGTCCATCGAGTCAGTAATGCCATCCAACCATCTCATCCTCTGTCATTCCCTTCTCTTCCTGCCTTCTATCTTTCCCAGCATCAGGGTCTTTTCAAATGTGTCCGTTCTTTCCATCAGGTGGCCAAAGTATTGGAGCTTCAGCTTCAGTATCAGTCCTTCCAGTGAATATTCAGGACTAATTTCCTTTAGGATTGATTAGTTTGATCTCCTTGAGGACAAAGGGACTCTCAAGAGTCTTCTCCAACACCACAGTTCAAAAGCATCAGTTCTTTGGCACTCGGTTTTCTTTATGGTCCAACTCTCACATTCATATATGACTATTGGAAAAACCATAGCTTTGACTAGACAGATCTTTGTTGGCAAAGTAATGTCTCTGCTTTTTAATATGCTGTCTATGTTGGTCATAGCTTTTCTTCCAAGGAGCAAGCATCTTTTAATTTCAAGTGTCTTTTAATTTTTCGGAAGATTAGAGAGGACCAAAAATAAATGCTAGTCCATAAATCACTGAAAAATCCATTCAAAGCCTCAGAATTGTGAGTAAATATAATCTGATATACCCTGTCTCATCTTAATACCTATGCAATCTATTTTGCTTTTAATATTTCAGATGCCTCCTAGTTTGTTACATAGAGGTAGATTTTTCAATTTTTTCTGCCCTGGGGGCTTGAAAACCATAAAAATAGTAAGAAAATGAAGGTAGTGATGGTAGAAGGGGGTACAGTGTGTGTGTGTGAGCATGTGTGTCTTTAAAAATGAAGTCTCAGAATCTTGGTGCCTATTTATTGATAACTTAATATTTATCCCTTAAATGTCCTGACTTATTCAGGACTGAGGACTCTGGTTGTGACCTATGTGGATACCATCAATACCGGAGCTGTACCCTGTTTGGAGAACGCAGTGACAACTCTGGCCCAGCTGGAGAACTCAGCAGCTGTGCAGAAGGCAGCTGACCACTACAGTGAGCAGATGACCCAGCGACCGAGCCTCCCCACAGAGACGCTCCAGGAGCTGCTGGAGGTGCACGCAGCCTGTGAGAAGGAAGCCATTGCAGTCTTCATGGAGAGCTCCTTCAAGGACAAAGATCAGGAATTCCAGAGGAGTCTTGTGGTAATTTGTCTTTGTATTTACCATTTCCCCCACCCGCTTGAATAATGAAGCCTAGCGGTGCCCTTATGGTCCCCATGGCTCATCCCTAACTCAAGGATGAAGTAGTCTGTGTTCACATGAGGGATAGAGTTTCAAAGGACTGCATTTTCTTCTTTTTTTCTACCAAATCTTGGGAAGTTTATCTGGAAAAGTCTTTCATCTCTGCTGTAAAACCAGTATAGATGTCCTTTTGAAGTAAATACTTCTGCAGATTCCAGTGCTGTCCAGAGCACACACTCAAGTCATTCTTGAGTTGATTTTTCTTTGAACACACTCTTATGATCAGGAACTAAAATTTTTCTAATCAGACTCTTATTCCAAGCCATTTTCAACTTAGGTTGCGCCTTGCTATGTCATGGAAAATAGAATCACTGAATGTTGCAACTGCAAAGAACCACAGAGAAGAGATAATGCAACTCCAACATATCAGATGAAGAACCTGGAGGGAGGCTGAGAAAATTTCCTGTGCTCTATCAGAGAGTTTTCAGGGTTGTGATAGATCAGGTCTTGTGATTGCTTTTTTTATTTGATTAAAAAAAATGCCTTTCTCATAAGGACAGCAGTTAGACCAATCCTTCTACTGGATTCTTTGAAATTTTATCTCCTCTTTTTCATTTTTCTGGTGACATCTCTCTATATTTCCCTTGCAGGAAGTCATAAAGAGTAAGAAGGAGGGTTTCGTGCTGCAGAATGAAGAGGCATCTATCAAATACTGCCAGGCTAAACTTGATAAGCTTTCCAAGGCCCTAATGGAAAGTATATCAGCAGGTGCTTTCTTTGTTCCTGGAGGGCACAAACTCTACAGGAAAGCAATGGAAAGATTACAACAGGACTATCGCCAAGTGCCCAGGAAAGGAGTGAAGGTGAGGAGCAAGGGGGGCATGGGGAGCCTACAGAATAGAGTGCAGGGGGTCTCTTGAAAATCTGAGAGCAAAACACCAAGTGTGGGTAATGAGAGAGCATGGGAATATCATGAAAGTTTTAGTTCTTAAGATTCACTATATAAAATTTATTAATAACTACATTTGTACCTTTTTGTTAGGCTCCTCATGTAAGCGATATCATATGATATTTGCTTTCTGTGTCTAACTTACTTCACACAGTTTGATAGTCTCTAGGTTCATCCATATTACTGCAAATGACATTAATTTGTTCTTTTTTATGGCTGAGTGATATTCCATTTATGTATATACCACATCTTTTTTATCTATTCCTCTGTTGATGGACATTTAGGTTGCCTCCATGCCTGGTTATTGTAAATAATGCTGCAATGAACATTGGGGTACATGTGTCTTTCCAAATTTTGGTTTTCCTGGAGTATATGCCCAGGAATAGGATTCCTGGATCTTTCCATAGACTCTTTAATCCTTCAAATGACATTAAGATGCACCTATGCTTTTTGTCATCATCTTAAAGATCTGAACTGAGAGGCTTAGCAGGTTAAACAAAGTTGCCTTAAGTTTTAGCCCGCAAGTAGCAGAGGAAAACAGCAGCACAGTTTACAGGCAATATTTCACACTGGGAAGACAAATATATAAAATTTCCAGAGATCTTAGGTTTGTAGAACTGAAGATAGTTCTGACTGGCTGGAGTCTGGAATGGCTAGAAGGAAGTAGCACTGGGAGGGAGATGGGAGGAAGACAGGTCACTCTAAGGAGCTTAGACTTGTAGGGAAGTACTGTGGAGTTTTAAACGAAGAAAAATTATGTGGATGTGATTGTTTTTGCACTAATCTCCCCAGTGGAAATCTAAGTTCTGTGTTCCTTCTTGGTTCCTCAGGAAAATGAGGTCTTCCAGAGCTTTCTGCAGTCACAGGTGGCAGTTGAGAAATCCATCCTGCAGGCAGATAAAGCCCTCACTGATGGGGAGAAGGCTGTAGCAGGTACGGGGTAGGGCTTGACTCACAGGGGAATGGGTAGACTTGGGCAGTGCCCTCTGACAGGTGTGAGACTAAAACCTGGTACAAGGAGCTTCCTCTCTGTCTGTGGAACAACTCTGCTACATCTGAAAACAGTAAAAGGAATTGTGCAATCACAATGGGGTTAGACATCAGCCAGACTCCCATCACATTCTGAAATGTGCTCTTGGTGATATGGACAAGGCAAGGAATTCAGAGATTTCCCACCTCCCTTTCCAACTGTATTTTATCCCTGAGGTCAGGAAGGTAGAGATCAATCCTTACCTTATTTTCTTCCCTCTCTAAAACCTTCCTGGGGCAGAGGAGCGGGCCAGGAATGAGACAGCTGAGAAGGAACGGGAGCTGCTAAGACAGAAACTGCAAGAGCAGCAGCAGGAGATGGAGGCGCAACAGAGGAGTCTCCAGGAAAACATAGCCCAGCTGACAGAGAAGCTGGCAAGGGAAAGAGAAAACATACTGAGAGAGCAGACTATGATGTTGGAGCATAAGCTGAAGGTAAGTCAGGCTGTGACCTTAGTCGTGCTCGATGGTCGTTAACCTGGGACCTCAGGAAGGGATGGGCGAAGGTTACAGCAAGACCATGGAGGGAAGCATCATTGCCGTTTACTGCTTGTGATTCATTAAAACCCCAAAGTCTTTGAATCCTTCCAAAGCCTTTGAGTGCTATTCTGTAAGTAGACCCTGGAGACTTCAAGAGGCGTAGGGCCTCTGCAAGCCATCAGAGAATATAAATAGGGTTTGTATTTATAAACCCTATTATAAAATTTGGGGAGTTTTAAAATGATCTCATGAGGCTTGGTTAAATGGATATTTCAACCACATGTATTTAACTGGTTTGCTTTATGAGAGTCACTGCCAGTTACCCTGCTACCACCCAAAGGCCCTATCTATGCTGACATAGAACTATCAGCAATGCCCAGACTTAAAAAACACAGGGCAGGGACAGCTTCTAAACTTGCTGCATTGTCTCCAGGTGTGGATACCCAAGCTGTTGTGTGGCAAAAGGGAAATTCTCTCACTGTCCATCTGGGTGTGTTTAGAACAGATGTCCATGATTTGGGTGACTATACCATCCTGAGTGGGGCTGAGACTTAGTGCAAGCACACCTGGCATCTTTTGCCTAGAACATGTATTTGTCCTCACGTCAGGCTTAGCTTCACGGGCTAAATCCAATGGTGCATGAGTAGTAGTAAGACTGTAAACTACAGTTTCTCTTAATGTTCAGGTCAAAACTGGTAGATATTCTGTTTACAAAATTCTCCTTCCATGATTGAATAAAAGAGAACAATTTTAGGAATAAAACAGATGGTTTGATGAAGTTTTAAAGTTTGAGAAAGTAATCCTTGAGAAAAAAGGGAATTTAAAAGTTTTTACTCCTCTCCTCTTTTTTTTTTTTAGGCCCAGGAAGCTCTACTTAAAGAAGGATTTAGACAGAAATCTGAGAGTATGAGTGCAGAGATAAATCATTTGAGAAATATGATTGATAATACTAATGATGGTAATACTTCCTGGATTGCACTAGTCTTGGACAAATTTGGCAAAGAGATTGCTTCAGTATTGTGTGCTCCAGGCAAACTTCTTGGTCAGATTGTGAGTGGCGTGAGCTCCCTATTTAAAAAGTAGATCTTCTTTTAAAGAAACTAGAGATATGTAATATATGTATATGCTCTGCCCTATGTTTGGTGTGAATGCTTTTCACTTTCATTTAGCAAGGCTTTAAATATAAAAAGTGGTTACTAAAAGTGTCAATGCCTGGCCCACATTAGACAGTATAAATGCATGGACATTTTGATACAGCATCTCCACTTCTAAGAAATATATGTGTGCAAAATCACACACACACACACACACACACAACACACACACATATACACATATATACATATTTTGCTTCCCTCTCGCTCAGACGGTAAAGAATTTGCCTTCAATGTAGGAAACCCAGGTTCAATCCCTGGGTCAGGAAGATTCTCTGGAGAAGGGAATGGCAACCCACTCTAGTATTCTTGCCTGGAAAATTCCATGAACAAAGGTGCCTGGCAGCCTATAGTCCATGGGGTCTCAAAGAGCTGGAAATGATTGAGCAACTAATACTACTACTGCTTTACACACATAAACATACAAGAGGTCCATTGAGGCATCTCTTTTAATGGCAAAAGACTGAAAACTACTTAAGTGTCTATCTATATAGTTGGTATTAATAATATATATTTTGAGTGTACATATACTGGAATACTATGTAGTCAGTAAAAAATCGACAGTGAAAGTCTATCTGCATAAATATAGAAAAAGCTTGAAGATATATTATAGAACAAAAAAAACTGAGATAGAAAACAGTTTGCATTATCTGCTCACCATAAAACTGCAGTTATTATGTGCACTCATTTATATGGCCACGTGGAACGTCTCTTGAAGAACTGATATCATTGATTTCTTCTGGGGAGGGACAGCTTGGCGTTAAGGGTGTTAAAAAAACATGTGTTTTTCATTATGTCGTCTATCTTTTCATTTCTATAAAGCTTTATTGTCATTTCTCAAATAACAAAGAAAGCATAAAGTATAATACTAAAAATGATAATAAATGGAATTTGAAATTGACTGTTAGATGATAAAATTGTTCATTGTTTCTAGAAATATTAGCCTGTTCAATGAGTTGGAGCAAAACACTAGAAGGCATAGAATTTGCATCCTAGTTTCGTTTTCATCTTGGTTTGGTTTTTAATCCCTTACATTTGCTTCAAATATAAGGTATAAACTTTCCTGTTACCCCTTGATATCTCAGCTAGAGGAAACTTTGGTGGTAGTTGGACACACCAAGTTGTGTCTGACTCTTTGCCTTTACTTCCTATGAAGTACACTTGTAAGATGTTGGAAGAAAATTACTAAACATTAAGAATATGCCCTGGTGAGAGGAATCCCATTATGCTTGAAAGTTCACTGGTGGCTCTCTGCTGCAGGCAAGAGTAGAAAGAGGGATGTACCATGAAGAGCTGGATGCCCTGACAGTACTGGGGCTGTTAGATGCTGATACATGGAAGCCAGGTGTTGGCATTTAAACATCAAAAGTCAAGTACCTACAATGATAGTGATGAGAATCATGGTTTGTCTTAGCTCAGGCTCTATAACAAATTAACACAGACTGGATGGCTTAGACTACAAATGTTTATTTCTCCCAGTTCTGGAGGCTGTAAGTCCAAAAGCATGTGTCAGCACTGCTGGGTTGTTTTTAAGTGTCTTCTTGCAGCTTCAGGGATGGCAACTTTCCTATAGTGTCCTCACAGTTTTGGAAGTGTGAGAGAAAGAATGCCTCATATTTCTTTGTTATAAGGGCATTAATCAGACTCATAAAGGCCCCACACTCATTACCTAATTTCCTCCCCAAAGCCCCACTTCCAAGCACATTGGGACATTGGGAGGTGGGGTTCCTGCAAATGAATTTTGGAGAACACTAGTGTTCAGTCCACAACATGGCTGGAGTGGAAGCCAGCAGGACCTGACCAGAGAAAATTCTGAATATGGCAAATAGAACAGGATGACTAGAGTCAAAATGGATGTGGAAGAAGCAATCAAATGGAATCAAGGATGTTTATCAGGAGGCTGAGAGTAGCCTTGATGAAAAGAATCTGCAGCCTTTATCTAAACCAATTTCAGATAATGAACTTATCACCTGGAGAGGAGAGCAGGATCTCAAGAGAAAAGATCCTGCAACTCTAGAACAAGGTTATATGATAATGATTTTCCCATTCCCCTTCTAGGGGACCTCTGGAAATTTACTTGGTACCTGTGTGCTAGGGAATGGGAATGCCTGAATGTTCTGAGGACTCTTGGAATCAGAATCCAAATTTGCAGTGATACCAGATCCTGAAAAGACTTCACAGTGTCCCTGTTAAAGTAGAGGCACGTGGGATCTGGTAACAAATGCAGTCCTGGCCCAGGTGCAATGCAACAAATTTTGTCTAGTGTTTGTTTTCAAATGAAAGTAAAGTTCATCTGAGGACAGAAACCATTACCTACTTTTCTGCACATCTTCATGGAGTATGTTTAGGCACAGAGTATACTGCATAAGAATCTGCTGGAAACACAAAATGCTGACACATGCATGATGGTTATCAATTGCCAGAATTCCATGAACACTCCAAAGGCCTGAAGGAATAGATAATTTGGATTTCACACACTAGATTAAGAGCTCTAAGTTGATTTAAAGGCTAGCAGAATAAAAGAAACTTTTCTGGCACAGTCTCCGCCTCTGCGACCTCCTCTGTGTATCACAATCTCTGTGCCTCTGCAAGGATGTTAACACATCTCCACTGGAGATTTTAAATGACTTTATCTACTATAACTGTGTCTTCAAGTGTTCAGAAGAAAGAACTGACTTTACCTTTTAAGGAAGAAAGCATTTAGTAAAGAGTATGTGGCCAATAAATGGTAGGGTTTAGTGGAAAAGCAAATTATTCTATTGAAATACCTGTATATCTTTTCCCATTGAGAACTTGAATTAAGCAAAATGTTCTATTCCCTTAGGCCAGAGACATCCCAAATTGAAGAACAAAAAGAAGTCTTGACATTTTTAATCAAGTCATATAAGTGACATCATACAGTACTTGTCTTTCTTAGTCTGACATCTCACTTAGTATAATGTGCTCATTTGTATTGTCGCAAATGGCAGAATATCCCCTTTCCTCATGACTGAATAACATTCTGTTGTGTACATGCATTACTTCTTTTTTGTTCATTCATCTATTGATTGGTGTTTAGGTTGTTTTTATATCTTGGCTGTTGTGATTAATAGTGCAATAAACATGAGAGTACAGATATCTCTGTGAAATACTGTTTTCATTTCCTTTCAATAAAAAATAACAAAACCAACTTGTATTGATCATTTAAAAAAAAGAAAAAACTTTCAAAAGTAGTTAACAATTTATTCATACATTTGTTCTAATACTTATTAAGGAATATTTAGTTCTAATTATTTACACTGTTTGCTAACTTCTTATGCCCAACCTGCCATTGTTCTGGATTATCTGAAGAGAGAAAGGCAAAGATATTGTTTTCATGCAGATTACACCCTGTATGGACCTTACATAATATTATGGCAATGTTTAGGTAGTTGCTGCTGCTAAGTCGCTAGGTAGTAATAAATGTTGTGTATGTGTGTACATATATATGTATACACACACACACACACACACACATATCTATATCTGGATAGTGATGAAGACTCAGAGTAGAAACCAAATAGTCCTTTAAGTGTGATTTCAATCTAGTCTTTCTTGTCTGGGAATATGATTGTGCATTACTCAATCCTAAGGAGCAAATAAGATAACGTTAAAGCGTAATAGGCTGCTTTTCTGGGCGCCTGATGTCCTCTGCTAGCGATCAGAAGTTGTTTTGTGGAGTTTGCTCAGTGTTCAAATGTTCTTTCGATGAATTTGTAGGGGAGAGAGGGGTCTCCCTGTCCTATTCCTCCACCATCTTAGCTCCTCCCGCGTTAAAGCATAATAAAACCCAGGATATATGATGATTGAAAGAATGAGTAAATAGATGAATGATTGGCTGAATACATAAGTGTAACATTTCTTTATCATTTCATGGGATAATCAATATCCATTATTGACCATTATGTACGTTCAAAATAGGAAAGGTGTTTGCAGAGAATGTTGTGTTTTTCCACCTGATGGAAAGAACATACAGACAAGATCTCAATAAAAGGATTATGTTAATGGATTGATGCAAAGGTCCTGATAGGAAAAATGTGCAAGCTTTCTCACAGAGCAGATTATGTTAATGGATTGATGCAAAGGTCCTGATAGGAGAAATGTGCAAGCTTTCTCACAGAGCAAGGTTTGAGTGGTATAGCTCTGAACCGTAACTCTGGAGTCCCAGAGTGAGGTTAGGACAAAGGTTTCTGATCTTAGGTAGATAATCGAAGTGATTTTTCCATCTCAGGTATGAATGATGAAACATTTAACATAGCTAAAATGAGCTCATGAGTCTTTTCCAGTCATTTTTAAATTAATATGATCCCTTTATCTCTTCAACACCAGTGTCTGGAGAAATTATTGTTGCTGGTCTTGGACTGTTTGCTCTAAGGTCTGTTCTGTTCCTCCTGCTGCCCTCCACCGCTGTGGAAATTTCAGCTCAGCACTACACACATTCCTCCTTCCCCCTGCCCGCCTACTAGGTGCAGCCAAGATATGAGGCACTGGATGAAAACTGTGAGTGAAGAGGAAGGGACAATTTGAGGTCTCTGCATCCTGTGCTCCTCACGTAGGGTCTGGGAGGAGGTGCATCTCTGTTGTCCAACTCCCTCAACAGAGGCCTGTGAGGCATCACTTTCTGCTTGAGGCCCAGGCCTCTGGACGTCAGTACCAGCATCTTTATCAGTTTCAGCATTAGTATCAGTCTCTTGTTTCTGTGTAGCCTAGGATGTTGTTTCTTACTGCAATTACTTAG